ATTCTTGATCCAAAGCATTTTGTAGTTTTCTATTACCAAAGATATTAATCTTTTGTAGTGTGTATGTTATATGATATTCCCACATCGATTTTTATAGTGGCTTATTTTATTTCTCTCACTTACTGATGCCAATTGTAGGCTACTAAATATAATAATCCAGTACATAAGTGTGCACACCTCACCACTGCTCCAGTTCCAGAAACCACACAGTGTTCTGCCTTTTCTGGTTTTAGAAATGCATACACTACAGTATTGGTACAATATCCCCACTGGAAAAGGATATAATTTCACATTAACGTAAATGTAGGACAGATAAATTGTTATATAATTATATAAATTGTTAACACACTCAAAAAGAACCATCAAGTTTTGATTCTCTTACTTTTTCAAACTTGTTACTTTCTGTTTCTCCTACTTACAATTATCTTACAGGCATTATTGAATACATATAAATGAGAAATGGCTTATAACATAAGAACACTGAAATCAAACACGAAATTATGACTGTGAATCTGCAGAGGGGGGATCTTGCCTTGTAGTCGGGCCGGATGTTTGCAAAGTAGATGAAGAGTCTACCGCCATCGCAATCCTCAGTCTCCTCCTTCCATGAGCAGGAGGAGAGTTTCTGACCTGGCACCTTTAGTGTGCGTAGATGCTGCAATTATGTCACCCCAGAAATTTAACATTGTTGATGACTACTCATGACTAAAAAAGAATTGCAAAGTATCAAATATACCGTCTATAGATATTGAATTATTGTATTTTTTAGCTTTTTTATTTGCCCTAATAAAATCTACCACACGACTGAAACATGAATACTCCGAAAACTCATATAGATACTAAATCTAATCCTGCATATAATAACATTAATGTATTTTCATAGTGTGACGCTATTATGAATTGCATTGAAAACACTACGAAAATGTTTCCTATAGGAACTCCAAACATTGAATACTTGTATACTCGTGTGACCTTTTTCTGTAGTCAGCGTGAACTTACCTCCCCATACGGTGTATAGAACTGAACGACATTGACGTTCTTGTCTGCTCCTGCGTAGCGCTGTGACCCACCAATGGCCAACACACTACCCATGTGGTTCCAGTTCAACACAGTCACAATCATGCCCGTATCCAGCAGTACAGGCTCTGTTATACAGTCAATGATGTCATGCATGTGAGGGAAATATAAAGTAGTTCTGGCACAGATTTATGAAACGATATAGATTGTTTTTTATTCCAAGAAATAATCATGAGCAACAAACAGTATACATACCAGTATACAATATGCATGTCATTTATATATTAAAATAATACCAATATATAATTTAATATATGAAACATTAAATGAAAAGGAAACATGTAGGCCATTTACCGTCATCCCCTTCGAACCTCATGATCTGGCAGCGCGCCATTCTCATAACAAATAGCCAGGCATGGGCATACGGATTCACGTAGCCTTCGCCGACCACTGTACCAATGTATTCGCGCAAGATGAATGGCGCCTGTCACGTTGGTTAGGCAGTAGATCTCCAATTTTCTCTGTAAGTTTCAATGATGAGATTTATTAACTGAAATGATGTATCACATGATTTTTACCCTTATTCAAATGAATATATATATTAAATAACAAAAAGTGAACTGCATAAAATCAACAAACCATGACGTATCGAATGTTTAGCTCCCACGTCATAACCTAATTCCGATTTTAGCAACTAATAGAGTAAACAGAAATTATATTGTTAAGCAGTTTTCCTTACAGTATTCATAACAGTATATGTACTTACAACGATGATTCCCATGTTGTCATATATTGCACCTTCCATTTGTGAGACCAACACGCAGAAGTTTACTATCTGGTGACACTAAAATGTATGACAAAATTATCTATTTCAGCTGATGCTATAATACATAACAATCGTGATTTAAATTCTATGATTTCTAACAGTTTCCATTTAATTCAACATAAAGCAATTTCTGTAATATGGGCCTCAGGTAAATGCGTCCTAAATAGCATGCACGTTATCAAAGTTGCATAAGGTTCCTACCATTACTCAAACAAAGCTAAACTTTCAGTGTTTGGTCTCACAAGATTAGGAGAGCGTGCATATTTAATGACAACATGGAATCATCGTTGTAGCAGTAATATACGTTATTGAATTACTGTAAGGAAAACTGCCCTCAACAATAAAATTTTCTGCGGTTTACTTCTATTTTGAGACCTTTGGACTTAATCATACGCGTTAACTATATGTCATATAACACTGGTGTATGTACCGGTAGGGAATGTCACTTACCATACATTCAGGTACTACTGTCTTCTACCCCACATGTTTAGTGTGCGTTTGGTCAATTTTTATCGGTGCTCAATCTACACTCTATTCGCTATATGTTCACTGAGATAAATAATTGCATCAATGATTTGAGAATTATTAACACATTCTGTTGCTCTATGATGCTTAGCCTAGACTTGCTCGTTTTATTGAAACGGTGTCATTTACCCTATTTAGAGCATAAAAAGTTATGATAAAAATGACGATTTGGTTGATCGGCAAAAACATTACATGCAGTTTTAAAATGAGATCGGAGGTTTACAATTCTGGAGTGGCACAATTTATGTTCCTTGACTGTGCTTTCTCATGTCATTGGAGAGAATGCTAAAGATATTATTAAATTTTATAGATATACTTTAATGAATGATAACGTACATCTCATATACGGATGCAGATCTTCTGCCCCTCCTTGTTTCCAAGCACAGGTGTCCGGACTACAGACTTATTTCTATTGTTAATCATCTCTTTCAACATCTGATCTGGAAATCGCAAACCAATTATTTAGCCGTTGCACACATTAATCATTCAATACATTATTTGCTAATCAATTTAGTACTCAGTTGAATGGATTTAAGCCTTAAAATAAAACTGTGTTGATAGTCTTTTAATTATATTCAAACAATAGTTTTGTGGCATTCTATCGATAACTTTCACCGAGACCAATCCACTTTGTCCTATATTCTGGAATTAAGGGCGGTAAAAATCATGCTGATACATCATTTCATGTTTAATTTAAAATAATCGAGCTTACCAATGTTAGATTAACATAAGTTACAGGCTTAGAAATATATTTGCAAAAAGGCCAACTGTTGACGGACGGACGCACGCACGCACACTCATGCGATTCTACAAGCTGCATCTGACTATGTCAGATGAGCTAAAAAGTGTATGCTTACTTACCACTGTGTCCATCCAGAGTCTGATTCATTGACAAGCTACTAGGAGCTGCAAGACCTTTGGCTTTCTCTTTGCCTGAAATATTCATTTGTTAGGTTAGCAACCCAGGGTAAAATAGACAACCTATGTGGGCTATTCCAAGAAAAAATGCATAAAACATACTACATTGACTTTCGTTTGAAAATATCCATGTTTTCTTTAGATTATAGGCATCAAAACTTAGTTAATAAGTAAAGTACAAATTATCTTTCAACATTTCTCACTGTGCAAGATTCATACAGCCATAAGATTATAACACCTCTGGCAGCATTATGGGCTCTCAATTGATTAAACCTTATTATATTGGCATTTAAAATTAATTACAGACACGATGAAATAGCCCATGCAGAAACTCATAACATAAACGTGATACAAGACTGGCATGGACATTGCCAACAAGTCAAAAATCATTAGGATCAGGAGGGCCATAGCAAAGCACTGCAAATTATTACACATAAATAACTACCTTAGCAGAATACTGCATGAGAAATGGCAGCCCAACTATTATGCATGCATATGCTATTATACTATACCGAATAGGTTTTGAGGATCATTTAGGGTGTGTGAACATCTCTAAGAAAACTAGTAATACTGCAAATGTTTAACTAAATGTATACCTCATATTCTACTCACATTCTTACCTGGTTCTAAAGAAGCGAAACAAGTTGAAGCAGGAAACAATAGATCAACATGCAAAAAGAGAAATGACACATTATATCAAGGGAACCTAAATTTTACACTGAGCACATAAGCTGCACTGCATATATACATGCACACAAAATTTATATATAATTTAAATAATAACAAATATATGTATTTATAAAGCTTCATACTGCATATATACAACACACATACGCAATAATGTAAAGCACATATAAAGCAAAATAAATGTTTTTCAGTGGGAAGGTAACACAATCACAAGCAGTCACACGTGGTACACTAAAAAACCTGTACGTAAATGCTAACAGCCCTATGAAAACCTAACCTATAAACTATTGAAAGGCATAACAGAATAGTAAAATGTGTTTATCCTTTATTATACCAGGAGTGATTAAAAATTAGTTATTTTTATCACTCCTGATATATATAATATATATATATATATATATTATATACAGTGTTTCCCCTGGTCAAAAAGGTCTGTGAGGTGGTAAATTCTTGTTTGGTGTGTTTGAGCGTATCAAGGTCCTAGCAAAGCAACATTTTTTGAAAAAATGGTGCAATTTGGTGCATTCTAAGCTATTTTGGTGCATTATAAGCACTGTTCTATGGAAGAATTATTTTATTCTCTCACTTACTGATGCCAATTGTAGGCTACTAAATATAATAATCCAGTACATAAGTGTGCACACCTCACCACTGCTCCAGTTCCAGAAAACCACACAGTGTTCTGCCTTTTCTGGTTTTAGAAATGCATACACTACAGTATTGGTACAATATCCCCACTGGAAAAGAGAATATAATTTCACATTAACGTAAATGTAGGACAGATAAATTGTATAATAATTATATAAATTGTTAACACACTCAAAAAGAACCATCAAGTTTTGATTCTCTTACTTTTTCAAACTTGTTACTTTCTGTTTCTCCTACTTACAATTATCTTACAGGCATTATTGGAATACATATAAATGAGAAATGGCTTATAAACATAAGAACACTGAAATCAACACACAAAATTATGACTGTGAATCTGCAGAGGGGGATCTTGCCTTGTAGTCGGGCCGGATGTTTGCAAAGTAGATGAAAGAGTCTACCGCCATCGCAATCCTCAGTCCTCCTCCTTCCCATGAGCAGGAGGAGAGTTTCTGACCTGGCACCTTTAGTGTGCGTAGATGCTGCAATTATGTCCACCCAGAAATTTAACATTGTGATGACTACTCATGACTAAAAAAGAATTGCAAAGTATCAAATATACCGTCTATAGATATTGAATTATTGTATTTTTTAGCTTTTTTTATTTGCTTTTTAATAAAATCACTACACGACTGAAACATGAATACTCCGAAAACTCATATAGATACTAAATCTAATCCTGCATATAATAACATTAATGTATTTTCATAGTGTGACGCTATTATGAATTGCATTGAAAACACTACGAAAATGTTTCCTATAGGAACTCCAAACATTGAATACTTGTATACTCGTGTGACCCTTTTTCTGTAGTCAGCGTGAACTTACCTCCCCATACGGTGTATAGAACTGAACGACATTGACGTTCTTGTCTGCTCCTGCGTAGCGCTGTGACCCACCAATGGCCAACACACTACCCATGTGGTTCCAGTTCAACACAGTCACAATCATGCCCGTATCCAGCAGTACAGGCTCTGTTATACCAGTCAATGATGTCATGCAATGTGACGGAAATATAAGTAGTTCTGGCACAGATGTATGGGACGATATAGATTGTTTTTTTTATTCCAAGAAATAATCATGAGCAACAAACAGTATACATACTAGTATACAATATGCATGTCCATTTAATATATAAAATAAGAAACAATATATAATTTAATATCTGAAAACATTAAATGAAAAGGAAACATGTAGGCCATTTACCGTCATCCCCTTCGAACCTCATAATCTGGCAGCGGCCATTCTCATAACAAATAGCCAGGCATGGGCAATTCGGATTCACGTAGCCTTCGCGACCACTGTACCAATGTATTCGCGCGAGATGAATGGCGCCTGTCACGTTGGTTAGGCAGTAGATCTCCAATTTTCTCTGTAAGTTTCAATGATGAGATTTATTAACTGAAATGATGTATCACATGATTTTTACCCTTATTCAAATGAATATATATATTAAATAACAAAAAGTGAACTGCATAAAATCAACAAACCATGACGTATCGAATGTTTAGCTCCCACGTCATAACCCTAATTCCGATTTTAGCAACTAATAGAGTAAACCAGAAATTATATAGTTAAGCAGTTTTCCTTACAGTATTCATAACAGTAAATGTACTTACAACGATGATTCCCATGTTGTCATATATATGCACCTCTCCATTTGTGAGACCAAACACGAGAAGTTTACTATCTGGTGACCACTAAAATGTATAACAAAATTATCTATTTCAGCTGATGCTATAATACTAACAATCGTGATTTTAAATTCTATGATTTCTAACAGTTTCCCATTTTAATTCAACATAAAGCAATTTCTGTAATATGGGCCTCAGGTATGGTCCTAAATAGCATAGCAGTATCAGTGCTAGGTTCTACATTCTCAACAATGTGACTATATCACTTACTGCTACATGGGTGAGATTCACTCCTTTTAAATCTTTACCCCAGATTCTTTGTCCATCTACTGAACCAACAATCACTGCACCTGAAAGCAAAAAGATACAATTATTACATTCTGTGTGCTTATGATGCTTAGCTACTTGCTCGTTTATTGAAAGGTGTCATTACCCTAATTTAGAGCATGAAACGTATATGAAAAATGACGATTTGTGATGGCAAAACATTACATGTAAGTTTTAAAATGAGATCGAGGTTTACAATTCTGGAGTGGCACATTTTGTCGTTGATGTGCTTCTCATGTCATTGAGAGAATGCTAAAGATATTTATTAAATTTTATAAATATTATTAATGGAATGATAAAGGTACCATCCTCATATACGATGCAGATCTTCTGCCCCTCCTTGTTCCAGCACATGTCGCGGACTACAGACTTATTTCTATTGTTAATCATCTCTTCAAACCATTGATCTGGAAATCAAACAATTATTTAGGTTGCCACTTAATCAATTAATACATTATTTGTAATCAATAGTATCAGTGAATGGATTTAAGCTTAAAATAAAACTTTGTTGATAGTCTTTTAATATATTCAAATAGTTTTGGTGGCATTCTATCGAATAATTTCACGGACAATCCATTTGTTATATTGATAAGGCACATGTGTAAAGCTTATTAGCAAAAAGGCAAACCTTTGTACATCATCCAGACAATGATGAGTCCATACTTGTCACTAGTTGTCAGCTTCTGATATTGATCATTCCATCTGACTACTTGAACAGAACCTAGTGACGTAAAATTGTTAGTAAGAAATAACAGATGTTTATATCATATAAAGAACTCCTAGCATTAGTTAATACATTTATGTAACATTGTTTGATAACACATTTATAATAAATACATCCAAAAATATTTTAACTAGATTCCACATAGGTGTTATATCTAGAAATTTAATAAATGCTTAACCTTCTAATTTCACATTTGATATTATTTCACACATGTATTACTATTATTTTATATTTTTATAGGTATAGACTTTGTTCGAGAATAAGTGTACCATAAAATAAAGTATTGATATAATAAGTCCTATACAAAACAAGTGCCGCAGTGCGACTGCAGTAGCGGATTAATCTTATGGGCAAAGGGGCATTTTGCCCCCGGCCCTACAAGTCGACCGGCCCTAAAGGTTGTGACTGACAAAAAAATATACTGCTTTATTATTTTTTCCCAAGATCTGGGCCGGCCCTACACTTTCATATGACTACATTGTTTTGCCTTTCTACTTGTTTTCATTTTTCGTGTTTTGTGGTTGACATTGCAGCAGCTACGAATAAGATTTACTTACGGTACATTGGCGTTAAAACTACCAATTTTTCAAAATATTTGATTTTTTTTAATTTTTAACTCTACTAATTATTTTTAGAACGTTTCCTTTCCATTTTTCAACATTAATGCTTATAATTATTCCACCTAAACAGCTAAAACATTTAGCTTATGGGAAGGGGCGTGAGGGGCGGCCAAAGATATGATGAGCCCCGCCCAGGCCAAACTGTTTAATCGGCGCCTGGCGACATGGCTCATCCTGTGTCTGTGTTCTGCTGATAAATTCATTTGTGCATAGCAAGACGTCTTATACATAAGTTTCTTTATTCTTGTTTGAACTTTCGTATCCAATTCGAAACAAATAATCAGCGCTACAACTTCGCACCCACCTAATCTCTATGGCTAATTCTAATAACAAGAGATAAATTAATAACAATCAAATAGCAAGTTACATTACTTGTAATGACATGACTTGTTGGACATAAAAAGATTCAAACCATATGAGCATTAGATCTTCAAGTTTAATTAGAGGCAGGCGGACGGGTTCCTTCTCTCCCTCCTCCGCACTGCATCCCACCTCTCACCTCCTCCCCTGCCTCCCACTTCACTCCCTTGCCTCTCACTCACCCCTACCTCCCATTCCTCCCTGCCTTCCACCTCCCTCCCCCTGCCTCCCACCTCCCATCCCTTGCCACCATCGGTCGCATGACCTATTCGGTACCCCGTTTCCCGCTCGCATACACACAGTATCACCGTTTTTCTGTCCCCCCGTTCTCAATTTACTACTTCTCTCTCTCTCTCTCTTATTTAGACTTCTCTCTCTCTCTCCTTTATCTTAGACTTCTCTCTCTCTCTTTAATTATATAAATTAAAAAAACAGGTTGATCTTTACTGTCTCAATAAATACTTCTTCTATGCCCCGAGTGTAACACCATAGAAATAAATAATATATAGTGTCTCAATATTTCTATGGTAACAGCCTTATGTTCGACATACTGATAATGGATAACGCCACGCCATACGCTACATGATATTATGTTTAAGATCAGATGAAAAGTAAATATTATATTATATGCCGTACTAGCTTACGTATGCAAAGTACATGAGAATAAAAGATTATTTAACTAGGCTATAGTTGGCGCGTGCAATTAACAATAATCAAACATTGCACGCCCTTCTTCAGATACCCTAACTCAACTCTGGGGGAGTGCTGAAATACTCAGAGCCTAAAATCCGAAGGTAAATATTATTTCAGCGCAGGCGATAATTTGCTCAGCTGTCAGTTAACACATGTGCTTGCAGGTTGCGCAAGAATTATGATTAGAAGAGTGCCAGCCATGGGCTGCCTCATTGTTTTTGCCCTACCCACGCAAGCATTCACTAGTTCAGCCTTCAGGTGTATAGACAGAACGCTTTTAGAAAATAAATATTGTAAGGAGCGTAAACTTGTTCAACAAGAACATTTGCCTTTGCAATTAAACTGTGCAACTGTAGCTCACATTTTCACCACAGGTTATGGCTTAATAATATCAAAAACAGTTTCAAGTTCCTTTGTTAAAACAGTTAAAACAAATCAATGTTTTTAATCCCTCCTCCTTTGAGGCAAAAGGTTATCCTGACACTTTACTTCGCATGTCAGCGGAAAGTACATTCATGGTGTCTTTCTTTTTCCGCCTCGTCCCTATTTCTTATCTCCTCATTCTCTCTCCTATATTCATATTTTCATCTCTTTTTTTCCCTTATTTCCCTCTTCCCTCACACACCATAATATTATTAACACTCCCCTCTCTCTCCATATTCATTAAAGCTAACATAAAATTGTAGAAAGCCTCATCCGCCTGAACAAAAATTTTTCTAATCGTCTACCGATACCAGCAATGTCCACAGAAAATGTTCTAAAAATCTGCCCTGGTCTCCCCCATTTACGCATTTACCTGTAACCTACATTTCGGCAAGTGATGCTTTTGCTCTTTAAAAGTTAATTAACTTAATCTCCCGCGACTTCATACGCATAGCCGCGCATAGTACATGGCCATGTCCGGCGTGCCATCTCCGTTCAGTAACCTGAGGCCCCGTAGCTGCTTTCACAGCATAATGTACAGTTAGGGGTTAGTTCACTGTAGCACTTGCGAGTTACTTGCCGACACTCTATCTCTATTTGCTGGAATGTAAGCAGAGAAGCCATGGGTGTACATTTCTTCAAGGGTCTTTTGGGTAATACTCCCCGGGCGGGGAGGGTTGGGGAACCCCCGACCTTCCACATACGAGCGATCCACTCAAACCATTGAGCATCGGCAGTGGTACTTGGGCTAGGATGCTTTTCCTTACCATGAATTATTACATTGACTATTTCACGAGCCCTAGTCAGCCTTTAGATTTTTTTTCCACAATTTTTCTGGCATTCTCTTTCCTATAACCTATTAATTTTCTTAAGAGATCCCTTTCTACACCTTCCTCGCTTTTGAGCCCACGCGCCTTTCGACATCCCACTCGTTCGGACCGGCTACGGGGCGCCCCTGCGGTCGGCCGGCGATCAGTAGCGGCGGAGCGGTAGGAAGTAGTAGTAATGAGCACGTAGGCCTGGGTGCGGGTGCGGTGATGATTACCGCAGCCTGAGCCACTATACGACCTTATGATACTTATTCTGGTAAAAATGCGCCTTAGCTACTAAGTATAGATTACCTCCCCACCACCCACCACACCCACTCTACGTCCCCGACTTTACAAATTCCGTACGTCTCAGATGCCAACTCTTTAGATTTGTGCCCAACTGTTGACGAGTACGGACTGACCACAGCATCAGCCCATCATGCGATTCTACAAGCCTGCAATCCTGACTATTTCAGATGAGCTACAAAAGTGTGTGCTTATTACCACTGTGGTCATCAGAGTCTGATGCATTGACAAGCTACTAGATTCCTGCCAAGACTTTGGCTTCTCTTTGCCCTGAAATATTCATTTGTTAGGTTAGCAACCCGGGTAAAATAGACAACCTATGTGGGCTATTCAGAGAAAATGCATAAGAAGACATACTACTGATTCGTGATCTCTTCTGTTTGAAAATATCCAGTTGTTTTCTTTTAGATTATAGGCATCAAAACTTAGTTAATACAGTAAGTACAAACTTATTCTTTCAACATATTCTCACGGTGTGCAGATTTCATAGCAACCATTAAGATCATAACACTCCTGGCAGGATATGCGCTCTGACATTGATTACACCTTATTATATTTGCATATCTAAAATAATTTACAGACACAATGAAATTAGCCCATGCAGAAACTGCCTAACATTAAACGTGGATACAAGACTGGCATGGACATTGCCAACAATGTCAAAAATGCATTAGGAATGCAGGAGGGCCATAGCAAGACACGTGCAAATTATTACACATAAATAACTACGCTTAGCCAGGAATACTGCATTGAGAAATGAGCAGCCCAACTATTATTGCACTGCTATATGCTATTATGGCTAAACCGAAATACGGTTTTGTGAGGATCATTTAGGGGTGTGTGAACACATCTCTAAGAAGACTAGTAATCACTGCCAATGTTCTAACTCAAGATGTATACGCTCTATTCTAGCTCACATTCTTACCTGGTTCTAAAGAAGCCGAAATCAAGTTGAGCAGGAAACAATAGATCAACATGCATAAAGAAAGATGACACATTATATCAGGGAACGCTAAATTTTAGCACTGAGCACAATAGCTTGGCACTGCATATATACATGCACACAAAATGTATATATAAATAATACAAATAATATGTATTTATAAAGCTTCATACTGCATATATACAACACAATAGCGAAATAATGTAAAAGCACATATAGAAGCAAAATAAATGTTTTTCAGTCGGGATAGGTAAAACGAATCACAACAAGTCAGCACGTCTACACTAAAAAGCCTGCTACGTAAATTCTAAACAGACCTATGACAACCTAACTATAAACTTTGAAAGGCATACAAATAGTAAATGTGTTTATCCTTTATTATACCAGGACTCCCAGGAGTGATTAAAAATGTGTTATTTTTCATGCACTCCTGATATATATAATATATAGATATTATATATATATTATATACAGTGCTTTCCCCTGGTCGCAATAAGGTCTGTAGTGGTAAATTTTTTTGTTTGGTGTGTTGAGCGTAATCAAGGTCCTAGCAAGCAACAATTTTTATGCGCTATCCCAAAAAAATGGTGGGCAATTTGGGTGCAATTTCTAAGCTTTTTTGGTGGCATTATAAGCACTGTTCTATGGAAGAACAGCGATTTTCGTCAGCGCGGGCAGGCTTTTTGGAGCAATTGCTGCGTCGGCGGCTGAGGAATTTGAGTTGAGCGCGGCCCGCCTCCTCGCTGTTCTAAAAAAATGACAAACTGCGGAGAAACATGAATATTTTAATAACTACATTATATATTACTAATATATACTATATATATCACTCCTGATAACACAACTATAATATGGATTATAGCTGTTGATATTTATTCTTAATTAGAACATATATGCATATATGTTTATCACTGACAAATTCTCTGATAGAAAGCTAGGAGTTTATTAGAGTTGTGAATTTTAGTACAAAATTACAAATACGATTACGCACACGTACACGGAGCGCACGCGCTTATCAACGCACGCCACGCACAGCATGCAGCATACGACTACACACACGCCTACACGCACGGCACACCATGTCAGCGGCATACACGCACTATATCGAAACCGTGCACGACCATCATATTTCTGTGCTTGGCGTTATGAACATGGCTTCAAACTGATGCGAGGGGGGGGCCACCCCAATGGTAAAGAACAGGCAATCATTTTTAAATCTTCTATAAAGTCATAAACTTAATATTAATTGACAGAACATCATGTAACCTAATTTAATCAGGCTGGGATAAAACAAGATGTGGCCAAGAAATTGGACAATTCAGTGAATCTAGTGATAGCTGTAGGTAGAATGAGATCAAGGTCAAAGTTCCAAATTTCTTAGGAATGGAAGTGAGATTTGAATGTACATCTATAGATTGAAATGCAAGAATAGCATTAGAGGGTAAAAGAAATTGATGCTCGTAGGCGTCTATGTCCCCCTTATGGGTCCAACGGTAAAAATATTATTTACCACCTATTATATAGCCGTATAAGTCATTATTTACTAAAGTAATGCCTTTATATAATAAATAAATATATATATAAATAAATAATGTATTATTTTGCTCAAATAATACATTATTAACATATAAATTATATTATTAAACATATATATATTACTATAATTAAAAAACATTATTTAACATATAATACACTTATATAATATTATTATAATTATATAATATATTAATATGTTAATAACTGTATTAATTTATATAATATAAATATAATTACTAATATAATAAATATATTTCATATTATATAATATATTATATTAATTATATAATACATTATATATTTATAATATATTATATAATTATATCAATAGTATTATATATTATATAATTATATAATGTTACTTATTTATAATTATATAACTGTATTAATATTATATAATATATTATATAATTATATTAATATATTATAATATCTATATAATTATATCTATATATTATATAGATTATATAATATTATTATATAATGTATATCTTCATTATTTAACTTTCTTGAATCTATATAATTATATAATATATTATATAATTATATAATTATTCTTTACGTTTCGGCACCTGGTCTTAGTATGCTCGGTGGGGCCCCTTTACACTGTGACAAACGCAGCCAAAAAAAAACAAGTGAACATCGGAATCATAACAAAGCCGTTGGAATCTTGTAAATAATGGCTCTATCCTCGCATGCATGTTTACAACGCTCTTATTACTGCAAGCCTTGTACCTGCGATATCACAAGCATTTGCCACAGGCTCTTTGCACCAGGCACAGGCTAAGTTTATAGTTATTTTTTAGACACAGTCAGATTGGAATCTAAGTGCTAGTTGATAACTGACAATTCAGAAAACTAACATAACAAGTAACTAAACTTTACCTCCGCCTGTTGCAAAAGCTTGAGTAACTGCTTGTGTATCCTTACAATGCTTGCAGTTAAGTTGAAACAACAGCTCCGAATCCATTTTTTTCAAATTCAACGAGTAATTGTTCTATGTTCGATGTTCACTCTGTTTTTTTTTGCTGGGGCAAGGGGCCCACCCGAGCATACTAGATCTATGTGTCCGAAGCTAAAATATTATTATAATATATATTAATGATTATAGCAATAATATATTTATAATTTAAATTATATAACTATATTACTTATAATTATATAAAATATAAATCATATTATATTAATTATTATAATATATTATTATATCATATATAATACATTATATAATTATATATATATTATTAATTATCATAATATATTATATATTATAATATATTATTAATTAGTATAAATGTATTTATATTAATTAATATAATATATTATATAATTATATAATATAATTATATATTATATAATTATATAACTATATTATTATAATTATATTAATATATTATATGCTAAAATAATGGCATATATATAAATTATATAATATATGTATATGCCTAATAATGATTTATATAATTATATAATATTATTATATGTAAATAATGTATATATGGTTAATAATGTATTATTTAATCATATAATACATATATGTTAAAATAATGTATTAATTTATTATATAATATATTTATAGTGTTAAAATAATGTATTATTATTTATTAATATGTTATTTATTATATAAAAGGCAATTTTAGTAAGATAATGACTTTATACGTATTATAAATGTGCTAAATAAATTGTTTACCTTGGCACCCCATACCCTGACCTCTGTTTACTGGCTCGTTTAGCTATTATTCTGACTAACCCTAACCCAAACCTATTATATATAATATTGAGTCAGAAATAGCCTAAACGAGCCAGGTCAAACAGAGGTCAGGGGGACATCTAGACCTTATCTGCGAAATTAATGGTGACTCGTGCACCAACACTGCAAACAAGATATTGAGTGGTCACTTGGTTGATCTTACCTGGCTCTGCTTCTGGGATTAAAAAATATGCAAACAAGCTCAATTAATTCTACTTTTCACTTGGCAAGCACCTGATGATAGCACTATTTGAATACACTATCACATTTAAAAGGAATGCTGTTCATCATAGGGGAACTAGATATTTGCTATATGAAACAATATGTATGCTCAACGCTACATAAATGCACTTATATTGCATACCAAAAACCAGAGATTATGGGTAATCAAGCCATGTAAAGCCAGATGCTCACGTAGACTAAACATGTAATTAATATAGCATACCTTGGCTGTCCAGTTTTAGGACTTTAAGCATGCCATCATCTCCACCACATGCAATGAAACCCTGCTCCTGGTTCCATGATAAGCACTGAAGTGCTACATTGTTTGGTATGGCAATCTAAAGCATAGAGAAGTTGAAATTGTAAATAGTAAACTGAAGGTGCTTTCTGGTTCCCCTCCTGGTTCCATCGTGATATCAATAAAGACTCTCACTGTGCTTCCACACTTATCCCAGAGTGTGAAATTAACGCGAGTCCGGAGTCAAATACTCCCTGATTTACTGTCAGACTCCCTGATTTGACATATATGCAGGAGTCCGTTCGACTCCCTGAAAATTCTGCTATAGTTCGTTCCACAGCACAGCCTCGCGGAATTGCCGTATTTTTTCAGCAAATGTCCAAAGATAATTGGGCAGACGTGCAACCGCATGAATCTTCAAAATAAGCACATACGTAAATTGTTAATATCTTTAGTTTTAAACTTCAGACTGCGGACTCCCTCATTTTGCTGCAGACTCCCTCTGTTATCCGGTGCCTAAAGCATTTACCATTAATTTAGTCCCCAGTCGGGGCAGTGAATTTTCTAGGGGTGTAAAAACTTGGCGATCTGAATTGCGACTGTTTAATGTTTTGTGTGTAAAAAATGTTATGTAATTATATATGTTTAACATGATGCAACATGGAGTTTAATCACAAATGCACTTCCGAACAGATAATCTGCGCATGTCATGCCCTACTATGCATAGGTGCGCATTTTTCAATGCCATCCAGGAGCTGCCTATCCCACGCACACAGTTTCTCTGCCTGCTCTGCAAACCGATACACTGCAGCCGTGCCTCCAACAGTTGATCATTTGCGCTGCTATCGCGGTTGTAGCGAGCTGTGGGGTCGCAAACATGTATATCGCATGCACAACTACAAATAGACAGCAGAGTTTATGCCGGGTACCCCTGCTATCCCGGTTCTGGGGGCACCCTTGCTTACTCTCCACACTGGATCTCGGTCATTGCCAAGAAAACAACTGATGGAACACTGGTCTGCCCATGCTACATAGGATCTGACTCTGACTACACATGAGCGTCAAATATCACACTTCTTCGTTTACGCTAATTGGCTTGCATCCCAACTCCTGGGAACGGCAAATATGGTGATTCCCAGTTGCATACTTTTCATTCAGGATAGCCCTGCACCTGCAGTTTTTCCCTACATCAGTACATGGCCGTAGCCTTGGCTTCCAACACATCACTATCTAAACAAGTGATTTTTCCTACACCACGATAACTGCCTGCTTATCAATCCTAGCTCCCCTATTGCCTGGTATACCAGCCTCGCTTTATGTTGTTAAGCATGATAGCATCTAATCTCACGCTCTCATCTCACCTGTATCGCTCTCTCTCTCTCTTGCTTTCTCTCGCTCCCTATCTTTCTTTCTTCCCCTATCTCTCTTATCTACTATACTCTGGCTTTTCCATAATCTTCGTACAAGTGAAGGGTTCACCCCAACCCCGCAGCTGTCGAACCAGGACTTGCATTTCCCTGCAGTCTGCACTAGCTTAATTACCTCTATGCTCTATGAATCATTCGGCATCAAAAAACTGATTATTTCTTTACACCCACAACAAAATATATCATTATATGTATTATTTCTCTGCTCGCTCAATAAGGGCCAAGTACAAAGCCTCGTGTGATGCGTGCGTGCACGGGACTGATATATTATGTGTGTCACGTAGGGCACAGTGGTGGGCCACTGACTTCTGATCCTGTGCCCACAGATTAATGCTACTCTTACTGTAGTGTAGGTAGTTAGATACACATGTGATTTATTTTAAGATTGTTGAAACAAATTATAAATATTAAAATAGTAATTAGTACTGGGCCTAATAATTTACAGTTAAAACTTAAGGTGATTACGTCACCGTAAATAGTAAAAAAATAAAAAAAATATTTCCACTTTTTCACAAAATATAAGTAATTCTGTTCACTTTTTATGATTAAATTGCTGCATTATACTTCTTATTTTACTATATTGTTCGATGTGAACATACACTCGTGACGCATACATAGCCCATAGCAAGCAATTAATGTCAGGAACACTAATATCAAATCGTCAGGTTTTTTGGATTTTTAACTATGTGAGAAACAATCTTATCAGGTAAGAATTTGACAATACGTTTAGTTCCGTTTGTTCTTACTTTAATGTAAAAAAATGGCAACAAAATTTTACAAATTTTACCATAGAAAATTCGTGACGTAGTCAATTTAAATATTACAACGACATATAACATAGTATTGTAAATGTGCAAATTACAAAACATTAAATGCTACAGTCTGTCTTCACATTCACATATAACACAGACAGTGACCACTGTGTACTGTCATTGTGGAAGACAGTCACACTGTCAGTGACGCTGAGAGGGTCTATGTCCCCCAGGGTACTATCAGAGGGTACCCTGGGTACGGTTCGATATATCGAACGTACCCTGGTACTATCTAATAATATGCCAGACCGTACCTCGCCTACTCCACTAACGAGTCTTAGGGAGTCGCCTACGCCTACTCCTAACCATATCAGATAGTTACCAGGGTAGCTCCGATATATCGAATTCGTACCCAGGGTACCCTCCGATACTGGGGGACATAGACCCTATGAGCGTCAGTGACACTCATAGGGTCTATGTCCCCCAGGGTACTGCCGGAACGTACCCTGGGTACGGTCCAGTATACCAGAACGTACCCTGGTAACTACCTGATAATGATATGGTTAGGCTTAGGGTTAGGGTTAGGGTCAGGGGTAGGCGTAGGCGACTCCCTAGATATGTACCCGAGGTAGTTTTAGTTGTTTAGTATTATGTTTATATTTTTATTATGAGGTATGTTTAGGGTTAGAACTTAGAGGGTTAGGATTAGTGTTAGGTTTAAGGTACACTTCTGTAGTACAAGTCTGGTACACTTTGTGTATACATATATGTACTCGGGTACATATGCTGTAGTACCTGATACGACAAGCGACCCTTGAGCGACACTGACAGTCACACTCACAGTGTCAGTAATTTTCTTCAACTTTACTGTAGGCCTACAAACAAATTAGCAAGGCTAGTAGTAGTACTAGTAGTAGTAGACTAGTACTGCTGAGAGGTCTATGAGGGTCTATGAGGGTCTATGGGGGTCTATGAGGGTCTGTGAGGGTCTATGAGGGTCTATGAGGGTCTATGAGGGTTTGCTGAGGGTCTGAGAGGGTTAGTTAGCGTTCGGGTTCGGGTTCGGGTTCGGGTTCAGGGTTCGGGTTAGGGAGTAGGCATAGGCGACGCCCTACCACTCATTAGTGAGTAGGCTTAGGTACGGTCGCATATAATATAGTACCAGGGTACGTTCCGTATACCGGACCGTACCCAGGGTACGTTCCGGCAGTACCCTGGTGGACATAGACCCTATGAGCCCTACTGACAGTACGGTCACTGTTTAGTGTTTTACTTAGTTTTACTTTTAGTGCATGATGATGATATTTTGCACCACCAACAAATGTGAAAACTTC